TTTAACATCATTGGATCACAACTTCTCAAGACCACTTTAAAATATTGAAATCAATACAGGTAGCAACATAGGCCAAAAGGGATAGTAGTAGAGGTTACAGGTTGTACATTTATGGTATCTTACATATTTCTGTATATTACAACAAAGTGAATCATGAAAGGTTTTGTAAGTTGAGAACAAACAAAAAGAGGGTTGCAGTAGACTCACCTCTGAATTAATTTGCTGCACAAACATGGACAATGTCTCTCCAACACTTCCTTTCTTGGACTTGAAGATTGTGACAAAGCGTGGTGCGTATCGATCCAGGGCATCAAAAAGTTATTTTGCAGATTTGTGGTGGCTATTCTATTGAACTCTGCAAACACCTACAACACAAAAAAAAACAAAAAAAAAAAAAATCTCTTTTGCCCTAATATTTGAATAAGTTTCTCCCAAATTCTCCAGTGCCCCAGCAGGCAGATCCTTGTCCTCCCTCTCTGTGGTTTCCCCCAGCTTTTCCCTCACCTTTACCTGTGAAGTTCAGTGGTTTGTAAGGTAGACTTTTCTTCCTTACCAACTACTAAACTCTGCATTCAGAGAGCATTGGTTTGTAAGCCAACACAAAACTGCTTAACTCCTAAATTTACTTACCAACTACTGAACTCTGCCTTACAAACTACTGAATTCTACATGTATAGTTCAGTAGTTTTGTGAACCAGAGCTCAGAAGTTTGAAAGGCAGAGTTCTAAGTAGACCTATTGCAGGAAAATCCATTAAAATATTACTAGCTATTGGCATCTTACCTCCAGTGTACTGAAGCCCACTTTGACAAAGAGTCTGTTCAAGGAAGAGATCTCAGGCATCTGCTGTGAGCAATTCTTCTTCTGAAAAGGACACAATTCCTTACTTAAAAATAAGTTCCCCCTTACAACCTAGTGGTTAGTAGATTACAGACAGACACAGTCTTTGATACCGTATGTGCATTCTTTATAAGCATAGGAAACTACAGCAAACATTGAAAAAAAAAAATACTACAATAAAATATTAAATGAAACATTCAATTTTAAGTTAAGTGGTTAGGATAAGTTCAATGGTTTAAGGCAGCATCCAGAGTTCACTGGTTTGTAATGCAGTTTATATTTACCGCCTCCATCCTGAACACAGGCTTTTGTGCCCTGTAGCACCCCCCTTCTTGGTGGGCAGTATCTGCATCCACTCCCCCATGTGGTCAGTGTTTGTGTACCCCAGAAAATACTCACAATGGCAGAGACTGTCCAGTCGGTAATTATGGATCAAGGATTACCATCACACAAGGTAAAATCCTCCTCTGTAGAATGGATCGTTGTTGACTGAAGAGTAGAGTACAGGAAAAATGGTCATAAATAACTGTAATAAAAGCTGTGTCTGTGCCCCTTGTCCTTTGTGGTCAAGTGTCTTTTCATCCAGCGCTCCCCCCCCCCCACAATAGGTTTGAAGATTGCCACCATACAAGCATTCATAGAACAGAGTGATTGTAGAGAGACAGCACAATGTGCTCCTGGTGGTCAGACGCCAAGCCCCTGGCGTTCAGTGGCTGCTCCCCCATTCAAATAGTGCTTGTTGGCTGCGTCCTTTTCTTGCCAGTCCATGGCCGCATGCACCCCTCCCCTTGCTGGTTGGTGGCCACACCCCCATCCTCCTTGCTGGTAGTCCGTAACTGCGCCCCCCCAGGCCCCAGATGATCAGTGTCCACACTCCATCTACAGGGTTGCCAACCTACCAAAATAAATTTACTGATAAGACACCCACAATTACTGACACAGCCAAGTTTTTACTGCCATTTTGACAATTACAGTTGTAAGTGCAAATTTCAGTATTTAAGTTACAATTAAGTACAATATATAATTAGCAATGTGAGAAAATCTGAAGGCAAAAATTTTTTTGATAAAGTAAGGCAGTTATTAAAACCCATTAGTTTTCTGTCATCCCTGTCCAACTCAAGAGATTTCCTATTAACCACTTTAGCCCCAGAAGGATTTGCCCCCTTCCTGACCAGGCCATTTTTTGTGATACAGCACTGCGTTACTTTAACTGACAATTGCACGGTCATGTGACATGGTACCGAAACAGAATCGATGTCCTTTTTTTCCCACAAATAGAGCTTTCTTTTGGTGGTATTTGATCACCTGTGCGGTTTTTACTTTTTGCGCTATAAACAAAAACAGAGCAACAATTTTGAAAAAAATATAAATATTTTTTACTTTCTGCTATAATACATAGCCAATAAAAAAAATGTAAAAAAAAAAAAAAAAAAAAAGTCAATTTTCTTCATCAATTTTGGCCGATATGTATTCTGCTCTATGTTTTTTTAGTAAAAAAAAAAAATCCCAATAGACATATATCGATCGGTTTGCGCAAAAGTTATAGTGTCTACAGACTACAGGAAAGATTTATGGTTTTTATTTTTATTTGATTTTTACTAGTAATAGTGGCGATCAGCAATTTTTAGCAGTACTGTGACATTGGGGCGCACACACTTGTGAACCATTTTGGGAACCAGTGACACCAATACAGAGATCAGTGCTAAAAAAAAAGCACTTTTTCTGTATTGGTGTCACTGGGAGGGAAGGTGCTAACACTAGTGAGATAGGGAGGGGTTAAGTGTGTTCCCTGGGCATGTTCTAACTGTGAGGGGAGCTGGGCTGTCCAATGGAGCAGAGTGATCTGCCTCCTGATGACAGGGAGGCGGGGATCCTTCCGCTCCTTACCGAGAGAACCGTGAGCTGCCTTGTTTACATAGGCGGCTCGCCGTTCTCCTCTCATAGTGAAGATTGTCGGGTAGCTGGTGGCAATCGAGCCTGCCGGACACCTGCGCTGTCTCCCGCTGTGTTTTTGAGACAGTGACAGCGGAGCACACGTGGGCACCTCACCTGCCTGCCTGCACCCTCGATGTACAGTTATGGGATTTAGCCTGCACGTGCCGCCCTGTTGCCATATATGTGCGCGGGGGCGGTGTGAAACAGGTTAATTTCTGTTTCATAGCCAACACTGAAAGCGAAGGGAAATCCATGGTAGCCACCAGGATCACCAGAAAGTTTGTCTCCAATTCTAAAATTTTGCCTTTATTCCTGTTTTAGATTCTTCTACTCTTGGTGAAAGCAGTAAAAGGAGAGGAAAAAAATCTACCAAACTGGGGCATGAGGAGAGAAAAAACACACACTGAGACTGCTGCACATTGCCCCCCCCCCCCCCCCCCCCCAGACTGCAGAGGGACACAGATATGGAAGCACACATTGAACAGAACTTAGCTTTTCCCATGCACTCCCTCTCTCCAGATCACAGTGCAACACACACTCACCTCCAGAGATGATACTAAATCCCAAGAGGGAATGGCAGTCACAGAACTCAGCTTTTCCCCCACTCTTCCTCTCTCCAACAGCTATTACCTCTCTCCAACTCACACAGCCCCCACCTTCCTGATCACACACAGCTCTCCTGAGAAGCAGACACTGAACACCAAGGAGGAGTGGCATATTACAGCACATTTTTGAAACATATTAGCGATATCAGTGGTGGAATACACCATCTCTCCTTTTTTATCTTTAATTATTTATTATAAAATTCTTCGATTTATTTTCCCTTAATCTTTTCATTAAATATTTCCCTGGTCTATTCCCCCACTGATATCTTTCTTTTGAGACCCTCCTCGTTTCCTGTTCCATAAGATCTTTTAACTCTTCTCTTTTGAGAGTTATCTTCTGATGTACTGTATGTCTAAGTCCAGTTTCTTTTTATGTGACTGTTCTAGTTTATATAACTCCTCCATCACAAGCCTTATTTTTTTCTCCTGGTCTTTCTTTTTTTCCGCTCCTATCGAAATCAGGATTCCTCTGATATATGCCTTATGTGCCTCCCAGAATATAGCAACAGATACCTCCTCGGTATTTGCTCTGTTTCCTTTCTTAACCTTTTCTCTATTTCAGGATCTTGTATAAGCATTAATAAAGTGCAAAGATTTCAAAACGAACTTCTTTCATGTTGTCATTATGGGGTATTGTTTGTAAAATGTTGAGGAAAAAAAATGAATTTAATGCATTTTGGAATAAGGCTGTAACATAACAAAATGTGGCAAAAGTTAAGAGCTGTGAATACTTTCTGTACCACCAAATATGTTCAGACCCGAAAGACAGTGTCAGGAATGGACTTGCCAATAGTGGTGGGACTCACCTGCCTTGTGGGCTGCAGTACCAGGGCTGGCCAGTGGGTGCTCTCAACAACCAGAGGCTCACTTCGACAATTAGCCATCACCTGGGGCTGATTGCAGGTGGTGTATTTAAGGGAAGGCCAGACCTGCAGTCTGTGCCTTGTTGTACTGTTTGCTTGGCCCTGGTTTCCTGATCCTGTTTCTGCTGTCCTGACGCTGCCTGAACTCTGCCTGTACTGACCTCGGCTAGTCCTGACCACTCTCCCGCCTGCTCCTGGTACTCTCTTTGCCCGTTTGCTACTGACCCGGCCTGCCTGACTACTCTTGTATCGTATGTTTGTTATCTGTTGGAGGTTTGGTTCAGTTTGTTTGTACTGTGTTATGTTTAGTTTTGTACTGCGTTTGTATTGTTAGTCTTAATAAATTATATTATTTACTATATCTGAAGCCTACGTTTCCCTGTGTCAGTCCACATACTTCTGGTCACACCTGCATCCCTGACATTACAACAAGGCCTTCCTGACCAGAAGTGGCTGCACAGGGAGGCCATCTTGGCTTATTGTTGCTGGGAAGGATGGATCTTGATGAGGTTGTGTATTTGCCGCTGCTGGTTTTTGATGACAGAGAATATGCTTATCAGACTCTGAGGGAGTATACCCGGGATCAACTGCTAGAATGTATACGGATCGCTCGTGTTCTAGTAGATCAGGGCACAGAGTTCTCTGAGGTGCAACCTTTGATTCAGGTTTGTGTAGAGTTGACTTCATCTGGTACCCCTGAAAGCAGGAATGACTTTTTGCCACCATTTAGTGCAGACCAGGTAGAGTCCCTGGATGATGTGGATTGCTTCTTGGAGCATTATGCTGCATGTTCACAACAGGTATTAAGGGATTGTATAAACGCAGTGCAGTCTTTGACCAGACAGGCTTTGTGTAAGCTGAGCTTTGTTCAACCCATACTGCAGACATGGTCAGACTTGTTGCACCCAGCTTCAGTCAGCTTACAACGTCATTCCTCCGCTCAAGGCACTCTTCCTGCATCCCCGACAGCATCCCCAGTGACGGCCCAGTATACTCTGCTAACTACCACATATCAGTCCTCTGCTCCCACTTGCTGCACCTATCCTTTCTTTAACCCTGTAAATAAGTCCTCTGTAGCAACTGCTCCCTCCTCGGTTCCATCCATCAGCTCTTCTCTGTCTTCAGCTGCTCCATCCGTTTACAAACCTGCGCTTACTTACAGTGCTCCAGTAACTAAAACCAGGAAAAGGCGAAAATTCTTTCCAACCAATACCATCCTGCCAGTATCCAAACCAGTCAGCCTGCCATCTGAGAACCCCCCTTCCGTATTGCAGCCTGGTGCCTCGGCGCCCACAATTCAGCCTGATGTCTCTACCCAGCATGATGTCTCTACCCAGCATGATGTCTCTATTCAGCCTGATGTCTCTACCCAGCCTGATGTCCTTACCCAGCCTGATGTCCTTACCCAGCCTGATGTCTCTACCCAGCCTGATGAACTGATCCTGCCTGATGATCCTATTATGCCAGATGACTCGGAGCCCACTGTCTTGCCAGACGACTCGGTGCCCGCATTCTCGCCAGACAACTCGATGCCCGCTGTTCCGCCAGATGACTAGGTGCCCGCTGTCTTGCCAGTTGACTCGGAGACCGCTGTTGTGCCTGGTGACTCGGGGCCCGCTGTCTTGCCAGACGACTCGATGCCCGCTGTTTCGCCAGTTGACTCGGAGCCCGCTGTCGGGCCGGTTGACTCAGAGCCCGCTGTTGTGCCTGGTGACTCGGGGCCCGTGGTCTTGCCAGATGACTCGGAGCCCGCGGTCTTGCCAGATGACTCTGTGCCCGCGGTCTTGCCAGATGACTCGGTGCCCGCGGTCTTGCCAGATGACTCGATGCCCGCAGTCTTGCCAGACGATCCAATGCCTGATGACCCAGTGCCCGCTGTCATGCCTGGTGACCCGATGCCCGCTGTCGTGCCTGATGACTCGATGCCCGCTGTCGAGCCAGACGATCCAATGCCTGATGACCCGATGCCCGCTGTCATACCTGGTGACCCGATGCCCGTTGTCGAGCCGGATGGCCCGGTGCCCGCCGCTCCATCTGGGGGCCTGGTGCCTGCCGCCCTGCCTGGGGGCCCAGTGCCCGCCACTCCGCCTGGGGGCCCAGTGCCTGCCACTCCGCCTGGGGGCCTGGTGCCTGCCGCTGCGCCTGGGGGCCCGGTGCCCGCTGCTCCGCCTGGGGGCCCGGTGCCCGCCGCTCCACCTGGTTGCCCGGTGCCTGCTGCTCCGCCTGGGGGCCCGGTGCCCGCCGCTCCGCCTGGTGGCCCGGTGCCCCGGTGCCTGCTGCTCCGCCTGGTGGCCCGGTGCCTGCCGCTCCGCCTGGGGGCCCACTGCCCGCCGCCCTGCCTGGTTGCCCGGTGCCCGCCACCCTGCCTGGTAGCCCGGTGCCCGCCGCCCTGCCTGGTTGCCCGGTGCCTGCCGCTCTGCCTAGTTCCCCGGTGCCTGCCGCTCCGCCTGGGGGCCCAGTGCCTGCTGCACCGTCTGGGGGCCCGGTGCCCACCACTCCGCCTGGGGGCCCGGTGCCCGCCGCCCTGCCTGGGGGCCCGGTGCCTGCTGTTCCGCCTGGTGGCCCGGTGCCTGCTGCCCTGCCTGGTGGCCCGGTGCCTGCTGCCCTGCCTGGTGGCCCGGTGCCCGCTGCTCCGCCTGGTGGCCCGGTGCCCGCTGCTCCGCCTGGTGGCCCGGTGCCCGCTGCTCCGCCTGGTGGCCTGGTGCCCGCTGCTCCGCCTGGTGATCCGGCGTCCAGCCCGAAGTGCCTCCGTCCGGTGTCCAGCCCGAAGTGCCTCCGTCCGGTGTCCAGCCCGAAGTGCCCGTCCGTCCGGTGTCCAGCCCGAAGTGCCTCCGTCCGGTGTCCAGCCCGAAGTGCCTCCGTCCGGTGTCCAGCCCGAAGTGCCTCCGTCCGGTGTCCAGCCCGAAGTGCCTCCGTCCGGTGTCCAGCCTGAAGTGCCTCCGTCCGGTGCCCAGCCCGATGTGCCAGTCTTTGATATCCCGCCAGTCACCGGACCCGGGCGGTGGAACATTTTGCCCAGCTAGGACTGTTTGGAGCGTCCTGAGGCCGCTCCTTGAGGGGGGGGTACTGTCAGGAATGGACTTGCCAATAGTGGTGGGACTCACCTGCCTTGTGGGCTGCAGTACCAGGGCTGGCCAGCGGGTGCTCTCAACAACCAGAGGCTCACTTCGGCAATTAGCCATCACCTGGGGCTGATTGCAGGTGGTGTATTTAAGGGATGGCCAGACCTGCAGTCTGTGCCATGTTGTACTGTTTGCTTGGCCCTGGTTTCCTGATCCTGTTTCTGCTGTCCTGATGCTGCCTGAACTCTGCCTGTACTGACCTCGGCTAGTCCTGACCACTCTCCCCCCGCCTGCTCCTGGTACTCCGTTTGCCCATTTGCTACCGACCCGGCCTGCCTGACTACTCTTGTATCGTATGTTTGTTATCTGTTGGAGGTTTGGTTCAGTTTGTTTGCACTGTTATGTTTAGTTTTGCACTGCGTTTGTATTGTCAGTCTTAATAAATTATATTATTTACTATATCTGAAGCCTACGTTTCCCTGTGTCAGTCCACACACTTCTGGTCACACCCGCATCCCTGACAGACAGAGACAGTTGGCCAAGAAATTTTCATCAGACTAGCCAGATATACTACTCTGACAGTGGATAAAGCAATATCCTTGTAGATGTTCCAAGGAACAGTACAAATGAAATAAAGAAAGTCTATACTTTCACTAAGTAGTGTGGTCTGCGTTGACCACACTACTTCAGTAGCCAAGGCTATTTGGATCTCGGTAGACAAGAGGGAGGCAAAACTTTGCCAAGTAATGATGCCTCTGTGGTCTTTGATCCCTGAGTTAAGTTTAGTGGCCAGTGATGCAGTACATTCGCTATAAATGCAATATGCTGTTCCTCTAGAAGCATGTAGTATTCCTTTGTGGTAAGTCAAGCCTTATGGCTTAACCCGCAGACTGCACATACTTCTTCTATGTTGAACTAGCAGCTGTTCAAGTTGGATTCAGTGATATGTAAGATGGGAATTGATCCCTTATGTTAGTCACCAATGCCTAGAGAGTAGGAAAAAGGCAAGGCAATGAAGATTTGGCAACAGGGTAGACCTGAGAAAAGCTATATAAGGGAATACAATAATCCATAAGCATCATTCTTTGCCTAAATCTAAATCTGCTCCTCCGCAGGAGCAGCAAAGTTCCTCCTCACCCAAACTTGCCCGGTAGGTGTCAGATTGCAATAATTTATGCAAATTTGGGCAGTAGGTTCAGGATCTGTGGGTCCTGTGCAATAAGAATTCATTGGCATTTTCTTTCCTCTCCTCCAACTCATTTCATTAGATAAGGTGGGTGGGTTGTCTCCTAATGTATATACACATTCCTGCCCATTCACGCTACTGCAAGTATCTTCCCTTGGCCTTTTGAGAGTTTCACTTCCAGTTCATTTGACAGCCTTTTGGCCTTTCCACATACCCAGAACATTTTCCAGAATATTATATCTAGTAGTACTTCTAGTAGTGGCCATCTTGTGGGAGCAAAGATTACAGGTGTTCCTTTATGTGGACAACATCCTGATGGTGGCTCAACATACTCCAGGTCCTGGCAAAATTCTATTCAGACTCTGATCAAGTTTGGATTGGTCATCAACTGGGAAAGGCCAACTAATCTCATTAAAATAATGATATTCCTGGAAGCAGTCCTGGACACTCAGAAGACTGTAGAGTCACCCTCAGAGAAGGTGACAGTACTTGCACCTCACTTGGGCAGGTCACAGCTCTATCCCATCTGTTTACATACTCTGGTTTCTCTTCAGATCAAATAAATCTTTAAAATTTTACCATTTGTTGGTATCCCATGGTCTCAAAGGCCCTGATTTACTAAGACTTGAGTCTGCCAGCAGACTCTGAACATTCAGGCAGACTCAATGAAATCAATCAAGACCTGTCAGTCTTCTGAGAGGCATCTAGCAATCTCATTGACAAACGTCTATTTTACTATTCGTAAATGTGGAATCCGGTCTGGCACATTTTTAGGTGCAATACCGGAAATGTTTGCTAGATGGCGAACAAGTGCGGACTTTGTACCATTGGCATTTTCCTGTTTCCATAAGAGAATACTTAGAATGTAACATAAAAAGTAGGCCTATATTATAATTTTTTTTTTTTTGCTGTTTCTCTAAAATGATCAGACAACTAATGCATTTACTAATGAATGTCATACATTCTATTTTCAAATGTTAAACATTTTCACACTTATATCTCAAATAATTTGGAATGTCTAGTTCTAAGTTCCCAATATAATGATATAGCTTCCTTCTCTTTAATGATGTAACTATTCTATGTTAAGGTATTAATGCGCATGGGTTATACACATCTGGGGGTGCAGCGGTATGCTGGCAGCTATGGGTTAGTCATCCAGCTCCATCCATCCATCCATCCATCCATCCAATGGTTAGCACATCTGCCTTGCAGTAAATGGGTCATGGGTTCAATTCCTGATCATGGCACCTCCTGCATGGAGTTTGCGTGTTCTACCTGTGCTTGCATGGGTTTCCTCTGAGTACTCCAGTTTCCTCCAACACTCCAAAGACTTGCTGGTAGGTGTATTGATTCCTGTCCAAGTTGGCCCTAGTGTATGGATGTGAGTTAGGGACCTTAGATTGTACACCCCTTGAGGGTTAGGGACTGATTTGAATATGCAATATATGTGTAAAGCACTGCATAAATTGACAGCACTATAAAAGTACCTAAAATAAATAAATTATTGCACTTTTTGGATTTTACATGCGTTGATAACATGCATTTATAGCACTGCACTATTATTTTAACATATTTCTATTCTGGGACTGTTGCCAATACCCTGAGTGCTAGCTGCTACCTTCATATCTATACCTAGATTTATATTGATCTTGTGTAATACCATTTTAGTAGTCTATATAATTTTACTAGCGCTCGCTTTATCATTATTTTTAAACAATATAACTATTCTACATTGCATCTCAAACTCTGTCTCCTACAGTGGCTTAGTGGTTAGAACTCACAGCACATGGGTCATGAGTTCTAATCCCAGTCATGGCTGCATCTCAGTTTGCATGCTTTCTCTGCACGGGTGTGTTTCTGCCAACACTCCAAAGACATGCTGTTAGGT